GCCTGCAGTGTGTTAACAGATCGTTGTTGAGGCAAGATGTTTGAAATTAGAGTGGTTTTGAGCAGGAGAGACACATGGTGCATTTATTCTCCAGTTCAGTGATTATCTCTCTGCCTGGCTCCTCTCCTAACACAAGTTCACCTTGGGACGTTGCAGGAGTTGCTGCTTAGTTTGGGAACTGGCAGCTCTGTTTGAACATGCAGAAGACACAGCCGTGACCAGGGTTCAGGCACCACTGCAAGGTGTGCTGCTTTCAGCCTCTCGACAATGTGCGTTGCCTGTGGCCACCACAAAAACTAGTGCCACGGAGGCTGGATGGTGCAGGATCCCGGTATGTTCTCCCGGGAGCTCTGCAGGCAGAGGGTGAGCCCAGGGCCATCGGCCACACAGTTCCCTGGGCTTGGGGCAGCAGAGATCCCCGTGGGGCTACTCAGCACCAGAAAGCATTTCTTAGGTTTCTGTAATTGACCGTTATTTCACACACATGTGCGTGGGGTGATTTGTCACCTTTCATTTCAAAGGGTTGTAGGCACCAGTCCCACAGCCACAAGCTACTGGGCATCACGCTCCCACCAGTGCTATACTGGGATCCTTGCTGACTTTACCTCACAGTGCTGCAGGCTTCAGGCTGCCTCAGGGTGTTGGGTGGGCTGTCGCTGGTGGGGCTGTCCAGGTGTCCTTTGGAAAACTTCACCAGCCAGGCGGCACGTTACTCACCAGGGAGTGCTGGGACAACGGAAACCCTCCGTCCATCACTTCAACCCACTGCATAAACCCAGCCCTGTCTCTGCAGGATCCAAAGCCTCATCTGCTAAGACTTTACTTTTTTCAACTCCCTCATTCTAGAGAGAAAAAAATTGACTGATGATTTACACTTGTTACCCTGAAGAATCAGCACGTTTGTCGTTCATGCTGCAAGAGCAGGTGCAAGCTTCGTAGAGTAAAATTGTACTGAAGATGATTTTGTTAAACGTTCCAAGTTACCCAATGTCTCCTTAAACAAGGTCCAAGAATTTAAGATGTCATTTGGCACTCACACACAAAGAAAGTGCTGAACACAAAACGGGGAAGGCAGGCAGGGTATGAAAGCAGACACGAAAATACCTGGGAGTTGATGCCTCACGTACACACATACTGCACAGACCCAGGCTGCAGCCTGAATGCCCACCTGTTGAGAAAAACACTAACATTCCTCGTATCCCAAGTAAGTTTAAAAAAAACGTGCCTGGAGTGCTATTTAACTTCCCTGTCAGATGTCTTGTAGGATGACAAACCTGGGTTGCAGCTTTGTTAAGGCTAGAAACAGACTTCAGGACTGCTTTAGAAACTAAGAGAGGAAATTTTGCATTCTTCAGGCTTCAGCACCGTTCATCACACCAGGCGAAGGTGAGCCCTGGCAGGAGGTACCCCCAGACTCTCAAAGAAGCTATTTCAGACACTGCAGATAAAATTCCTCATGCAAAACAGAAACTGCAGAACAGCCCATGTCTGCCAGGAGACCATGCAAACACTCCTTTATATATTGCCCCCAAAACTTAAAAATTCATTTAACTTGACACTCTGTTCCCCACTCTGTTTTCCTCTAATACTTTTAGACTTACCAAGCTCTTCAGAACTGGACCATCACGCTATGTCTTGTCCAACCTGGTAGAGTGGGTAACCAATGACTTTGGTTACCCAACAACAGTGGTCATGCCTTGTGACACCACCCATTACCCCGTCCTCTGTTCAGAGGAGCAGGGCAGCGACAGGGCTCAGCGCTCCTGGTAACACCCCCACTTGAGGACTCTGAAGGACTGCAGAAAACATGAAGACATCTGTGTATCCAGTGGATACACCCAGACGCAAAGGTGTGAGAAGTCCATCTAAGATGTTCAGAAAACATCTTATTCTTAAGACTATCAGTTATATCCACAGAAATGGGACTGGAAATAAGTAGCCTATGAAGTTGAGAGGGAGAAACAAGCATTTGTGTGAATCTCAGCTGGCCATTACCCAGCAATAGATGGAGCTAGAGGTGCACTGAGGTGGCTTTGCACTGAGGCAGAGATGTACCTGCACATCTGCAAAAGGGCCAGCCACGTACCTGGGAGGATAGGAAAAGACACTATATTACTAGAAGGTAAACCAATAATTGTAGGACATCTGCTTAGTTGTCAAGGACCAAGAGGGAAATAAAGCTGTTGTCCCCTCCAGCTAAAACCTGCTGTTCCTTTTTCCCCAGACTCCCAACCACCAACTGCTCTACAGTTTGTATGCCAATCCAATTCTGACACCAGTAATTCACCCCAGAGACTGTTTATTTTAACTTTATCAAGTGAAGAGAAAAACAACTGTGTTAGAATGAAAAAAAAAAAAAAAAAAAAGCATCTGGCAGCAGGATATTTTTTTTCCTCAGAAGCTTCCCAGC